TTTTTTTTTTTTTTTTTTTCTGTTGATGCTGAAAATTTGTGCTGGCTGTGAATTTAATCCGTAAACACTTTGGAACTGAACTCGTATACTGATACAATTATTTGAATGATTCATTCTGTCTCTTTTAGTTCGTATGGTTCAAGTATGTTTAAATTAAGCTTTTAGTCAATTGGATCGAATAATTGCAGAGTTGATGGGGCTGATATCACAAGAGATACCCATTAGGATGATTTCAATTGTTATTCTTAAATTTTAAAAAACTTTGGATTGCTTATGCGAGGTTGATTTCTTCTACTGTATTCGTCTTTTATTCTTTTTCAACCTGATCAGTTCAGTTCTTTAATGGGCTAATGACCATGCCTATCTCATCTGATGTTAAGCAGGTTATTTTTGACTTCCGTTTCTTGGCGCTGCTTGCTGTTGGGGGTTCATTGGCGGGTTCATTCTTGTGCTTTCTCAATGTACTTTCTCCAGCTCTTAGGACTCGGATAAAGTTTTCTTTTGTATGATACTTTAATTGTTTGTGTAGTTTGACTAGTCTTAGCTTGTCTGAAGGGCTGCGTTTATATTTGTGATGCATATAAAGTTTACTGGTCAAGCTGTGTCAAAGGGATTCACACCGGACAAATGGTTCTGCGACTTGTTGAAGCTATTGGTAGGATCCTCTCCTATATTCACTACTGCATCTCTTTTTTTGTGCTGGAAGTACAGCTGCTAATTGCACTTCAAAGCATGAAAACGATAATGAATTGCTACCTCATGCAGATGTATATCTCGCTGGAACCGTCATGTTAATCTTTGGGATGGGCCTATATGGATTGTTTATCAGTAATGTGTCTCCTGATGAACCTCCTCCTGTTGATCGTGCCCTGAAAGGATCCTCACTGTTTGGAATGTTTGCCTTGAAGGTAAATGACTAAGTTGATAGGTTAGGATACTTTTAATCTTTCTTTTAGTTTGGGTGTAGATATTAGTTTGATTCACAAAGTGGTAACACATGAACTACTAGTATTTATTAAGGAGAAAATAACGTTGTCAGGGTTGAACTTCAACCTTATGGTATGATATCATGTTAAATAACTTAGACCCCACCACTAATAGATATTGTTTTCTTTGGCTCGTTACGTATCGCCGTCAACCTTACGGTTTTAAAACGCGTCTACTATAGAGAGATTTTCACACTCTTATAAGAAATGTTTCATTTTCCTCTCCAACCGACGTGGGATCTCACAATCCATCCCCTTGAGGCCCCAGCGTCCTCGCTGGCACACCGCCCGTTGCTTGACTCTAATACCATTTGTAACAGCTCAAGCCCACCGCTAATAGATATTATTCATTTTGGTCCGTTACGTATTGTCATCAACCTCACGGTTTTAAAGCGCGTCTAGTATAGAGAGGTTTTTGCAATGTTTTGTTCTCCTCTCCAGCCCAATGTAGGATCTCACACCTTTACCGGAAAAAAGAATCACCGCTAGATCCAAAAGCTTGAGTATAGTTTAACGTATATTTATTTATTCATGTCATTTGATGGAAATTGACAAAACTCAGAATAGAATGGTTGTATGCTGAAACTTGAACTCCCCTGAAGAAAATCTAAGATTCCAACAGTGCTGAATGCTGTAAACTTGAGAAAATCTTTGATATTCTATGGAGATTATTGTCTGGACATTATTCAGCGAGCATGGAAATCTTAGTGTTTGTTTATGCTGTCCTGAAACTTCTGGAACAGAGAATGGAATATGAGCTTTTACTTTTTTGAATTTGTTGTTCCCTCATGGACGGCATTTGTGATTTTGGTGTCATTGGTTGCAGGAGAGGCCAAAATGGATGAAAATTAGCTCTCTTGATGAGCTGAAAACAAAGGTGGGACATGTTATCGTCATGATTCTCTTAGTGAAAATGTTCGAGAGAAGCAAGATGGTGACGATAGCAACCGGTCTCGATCTACTGAGTTATTCGGTCTGCATCTTCCTGTCATCTGCTTCTTTATACATCCTCCATAACCTACACAGGCCAGAACAGGAACACAAAGTAGTATAATACCAAGGAAGAGCGTAGGATGGCCTTCTGAAACTGTATAAATGCCAAATGAAGCCTATATTTGTTTGGTTTATGATGTTCTTGTTACCTGTTATGTCTGTGAAAGAGCTGAATGCATTGTTTCCTCGAGGGATAATTGCAAAAATGTATATCATTGGTTGTACTCATATCATTTAATCTCCACTTCCATTCATGACTTTGTTTCCTCCTTTCCATCAATTGATTATGATATAAACCAAAACATTAGAGAAAGAAGAGAGATAAGGATATCATCTCCACTCTCATCTCACCATGGCTTGAGCATCGATGAGCAATCTTAAGCATTCTTCTCATTTTATTTATAATCATTACAATCATTTCTTTTTGGTTAAAAAAGGTTAAGTTAGGAGTTATGGCATATCATAGTTTAAATTTAGATGATTTTAGTTTTTAGGGCATTGAAAGTCGTTTAGTTTTTAAATGTTTGCTTAATATAAAAGTGTGGTTGTAAAGAACACAAAAAAAAATATATGAAAATGAGGGATCGTTTTGCTAAAACGAAGTTGCACCGAGGGAGATAAGACCTAAAAAAAATTCACAACGCAGTGCCTCAATAATACTATGAAGACAGTAAGCTGGGTAGGGCCTCCGGCCATAACCTCAAAAGTTTAAGTTTCGGCCTGTGGCTTTGGAGTTAAGTCTCTTTATGTGGAAGGTGAAAACTCGCCAAATTTGTTATCAATCGGACACCCACGGATACTCCACGAGGCCGTATAACGGTTCAGCCATATCAAATATGCCTCAAAATTTATTATAGAGGGAGACATGATGTCAACTCTCTACCAAGTCTTGTAGCCTAAGTGAGCACCTCATGACACTATGTCATGGTGTGGAAGATGTCTCAATGGTCTTCCTTTGAAATGATTTTTTCGAGAACAGTGTCAGACGACACCAGTGTGCCGACATTGGGCCTCAATTCATGGATCGGAGGTTGGTATATGGGGCACTCTCTGATACAGTATTCGTAAATGACTCAGCATGGACAGGAGATATTCATGCCTCAATCGTACCCAGATGGATGGTCAATTCACGGTAAGCATGCCCGAGTGAGCGGCAAGGGTCCATGGCGTTTCAGGACTTAGGATGACATTACGATGCATGGACCATGTTCTTGGAAATCACGATGATGAGATGGGATGTGACATTGCGGTTTTTGGCCTAAAGCAGAGGCAAGATCGAGTCGAATGACTTGGCCTAGAGTAATGGTAAGTCAACTAAAGTTGCAACGATAGAACATGCACACATAAGCAATATGTGTGGCCAAACAAACTTAGTTTCCATATGAGTTGTGTTTGGTTAACAAAGAAGAATCTTGCCTAAGGTTCCTAAGCAAAAAAATAGAAATGGAACTTGAATTCCCCTTGAGACTTATCATGAGCATGTCAAGATCATAACACTTCATGGTTCAAAATGTACAATCGTGACACAATGCATGATCACATAAACCATCATATGATCGCATATGCAAGCCTATACGATCACATATGCACACTATGAGATTGCATACACGCTCTATGTAATCATATGACCCGATCACTCACTTTTCTTACAACCATACATATATACTACCCAAAAAATTAAAGAATTTTAACTTTCAATGCCCTCAAAAGTTCGAAATGATCTAAATTTAAACTTCGAAAGACTATAATCTTGAGTTTAGATCAAATTAGATAGTCGCTAGATTGCGATCTACGTGCTAGAAGACATCTCATTTAACCTTTCTAACAAAAATTGATTGTAAATGAACAATGAGTTTATAATTTCTAATAGAGTTCATGATAGTCTCACTATTTTAGTCTCTACAATCAGCTTTCAGTGGTATCATAAACTTCATGTCAACATACACCAGCACTTAATTTTATAAAACAATAAGAATACATCATCTAAACATCAATCGACTCGGTTTCTTATTTATTACATACACCAGCACTTGATTATTCAAACAAAAGATCGGTTCTTCGACCGTTCTATATACATCGACCAAACCTGTTTCAACTCGTTTGCAAGCGTTTGGATAGCTCCATTTGATGTACTACAGAGAATTAAACCTGGATGCATACAAATAATACTCTGCAAATCCTTCAATAGTTCATAAATCTTTGCTTGTAACTTTTCCTCATAGCTTGAAATATCTACACTAGATAATCTTTAAGATAGTCTAGAATGTTAGACTTCTTTAGTTTCGCCAATGTGGCAATATTGGTTTGTCGAATCGTCTCTCGAGAAAGATTCAATGACTTTCCTATCTCCTCAAACGACTGAGGAATCTGTCCATTGAGGCCAAAGTACAAGGTCAATATGTGTGCTTCTCTTTTGCTTAGAGTATTAAGAAGCTTCTTCAGTTCTTGCTTCATCAGTTTTCTTATTACCATATTCTCTGGTGTCAAATTGTCTGGCCCTGGCATGATCTCCTGCAGAACATAAAGAATATAGTATTTCAACATTTCATCGTAGTTGCGAGAAAAAAAAAAACATAACCATAGACGTTCGCTGCTAGGTGGATATCAACCTAGGATTGAATATCAAATTATGTGTCAGATACCAAATATTGCAGAGTGAGGTAGTTGTCCGATAAAATTAGTTGAGATCGAATAAGATGGCTCAGGCACTAGCCACGCGCACATATATATATAAGCAAACCCCAAAGTGTAGCAATCTAATTGAAAATATGACTTAATTGATATGCAATCTGTGAGACCCCACGTCGATTAGAAAAGGGAACAAACCATTCCTTATAAGGGTGTGAAAACTTCTCCCTAACAGACGCGTTTTAAAACCATGAGGCTAACGACGATACGTAACAGGTCAAAGCGGACAGTATCCGCTAGCGGTGGGTTTGGGCTGTTACAAATGGTATCAGAGCCAGGTACCGGACGGTGTGCCAGCGAGGACGCTGGGCCTCAATGGGGGTGGATTGTGAGATCCCATATCGGTTGAAGAGGGAAAACAAAGCATTCCTTATAAGGGGTGTGAAAATCTCTCCCTAACAGACGCGTTTTAAAACCGTGAGGCTAACAATGATACGTAACGAGCCAAAACGGCGATATGTTACACAATCCTTTTGGAAGTTCATCCTCTCCTTTCGAGATATTAATCAAGAAAAGGAACTTAACATTATTTCATCATAGATGAGGATGAGGGAAATGTATTCAATTACTAGTTTTATGAACAAAGGGAAGAGAGCCTAAATCAAAGTTCCTAAAGATCAAGAGCCAGTTGCAAACAAGGCTCTCATCCTTCATGAAAGATTGAAACTTCAATTCAATGTCATTGTAGCAGCAGATATGAAGAAAAACAAAAACGCAAGTATTCCTTCAGTAAAAGACTAAGCTCGACTTAAGTAAAAAGGTACCTGCAGGGTTAAGCAACCTCGGTCGTTTACCGGTTGATTGATTGAAATCGGGCGCTTATTCCTTTCTGTAACCAGTCTTACAGTCGAAACGGGAACTTTCAGATACTTAGCGACTTCCTTGTGGGTGGGTACTCGTGATAACTTTATGCCAAGATGATTATTTGCTTCTGCTATTTTTGCTACCATCTGACCCATGTGACCCTGCACACAGCGAGCTAACCAAGCATTCAATTATTACCCGCTCGCCTTCCCATACTTCAAATCCTAAGCTAACAAAACTTCATAGAAATTACCTTTCCATTTTTTGTGAAAAAAGGTGATATAACAAAAAGGCTCTTCCTTATCGCCTTGGCACATCTTGTTCTTATTGGTTTCGATATGATTCTCATCATAAATCCAACTTAGTTTGACAAACAACCAAGTTTCTATTGAAAAAAAAAAATGAAAGAACACAAGGGCATACAAAAAGAGAGCCCATAAAAGGAGGAAACCCACAAAAAGGGCCTCCAATCAAGTAAAATAAGACCGAACGGGTAACAACAAAAAAAAAAAAAAAAATTATCATAGAACCTAGGACGAGCACTTTCTAGTAGGCTAACTCTGCCGCTGACTTCTACTAGTGTAGGACTAAGTAGGCCTTTTCCTTTAGGTCCAAGGTAGCATTGACAAAGAAGAACATATGGTTAAAAGACAGCGAATCCTTTTATATATAAATATATATAGATCAGCTTAAGAAGCTACCCTTCCTCTTGATCTGAGATACAAAAAGAAAGATCTCTTTTCTATGACTTCCACTTATCGATCCCGGCCCAGAAAAGTGACTGACCAGGACCCTATAAATGAATAAAAGAAAGGTAAACAGGACACAAATTATGTTCTTATGTTCAATGTATTCAGAAGTGTCATAACTACAAATGCAAAATCTGCATAAAAAACTAAGGACGATTTGAAACTTGTTCTACATGACAATCAAAATGTGACAAATGAGAATTGAGGCAGTATCTTACCGGCAGTCGAACAAGCCTTGACTTTTTATCCAACGCTTGAATGATAGTTTGTCTTATCCACCAATAAGCATAAGTTGATAACTTATGTCCTCTATTTGGTTCAAATCTTTCAGCTCCTTTAAGAAGACCAATGTTCCCTTCCTACAAAAAACAAATAAAACCTTTCAGCATACTACAGAAAACAACAATCCAAAGGAGAGTAATATGTGCATTAACCTACCTGAGTGAGGTCTTGCAGGCTAATCCCTTTGCCCTGATATGGAGCCGCAATCGAAATGACTAGTTTGCTATAGCATCGAATGAGTCGATCTCTCGATTCTCTTGCCCTCCAGAGAACTCTATCTATATACCCTAATTTGGTGCCCATGGCAATGGCCAATTGCTTATTTGTAGGTTCATGTTCTTGAGTCTCCATGATTCTAGTTTTTATCTTTTCAATCTGTGCTGCCTCCTGTGAAGAGTTTATAATATGCAGAAGCTTTCTTTAACATATGAACATGGCAGACACTTTTACATGATTTAAAGGATACTAATGCAACAAACTAAATTCTACTATGGTACCTTAAAAGCACTTTATAAAGGAGAAGAAGAGAGTTCTGCAGTCTTTTGCATACAAATTATATGTATTCCCCTCAAGAAAGCTCTCAAGAGAAGTAAATGCTGGCATAGACAAGGATTAAAGAACAACTTATCAAATTTAGTCTAAGACTCACCTTTAGACACAGACAAAGCTCTGCTTCTTCTTTTGAGCTCAAATGTCCAGGTCTCAAGGGGCCATTGGACAAAGCAACCCAATTTTCCTCGGCTGTCTCCCCCACCTCTTTCCTCCTTTTCCTTCTCCTCTTTTTCCAAGCCACATTCCCAGCACCCCCACAGCTCTGCTCCATTTTCTCAAGGTTTTTGCAGCTCCAATCCTTAGAAAGCCATCCGGCTTCCACCAGAACATGTTCTCTTGCCGCTTCTACCGCCAGAACCGCCGCCGCCTCCGACGGCGGTGGGTGGGTTAGTGTATCATTGTTGATGAAGTTGGGTGCTAATTTGGTGGAGAAAGGGGAAATGGTGAAATGGGGTTGTTGGGGAAGATGGGTTTTGAGCGATGGAAGTGATGAGAGAGAAATGGATGGGAGGGTTGGGGATTGAGCCGGTAATGAACATAAGCTACTGGTAGTGGCCATAAGCAGAGAAGGGAAAGAAGCAGGAATGGGAAAGGCTCTTAAGAAGTTTGGGCTTTTTTAGCACTTGGGATTCAGATATTTGTTCTTGTCGCGAATGGATAAAAGGATGAAAAGGTTGGATGTCAATGTGTGCGGATGCTATTGAAGCATTCACATCCTTCGAGAAAAGGGTGTGAAGAATAATCGGCCAAGTAGATAGATTTAGCATACAGATCAATCCTTCAAGGAATTCAACAACCAAAGGGGTTTTTTCCCCTTTTCTTAATGAACTCAACAAATATGAATCACATCTTCAAAATACATTTCTATTAAATCGTCTTCTATCATAGGAGCTCGACAACACAGAAATTGCTGTTTTAGAGTAAAATTGCTAAACAAAATTGCTAGGAGAAGCTTGAAGTGCAAGAAAGTTTCATAGGCTCGAAACTACTAGATATTATCTTTTTAGGTTTTCCTGTCTGGGCTTCCCCTCCAAGTTTTAAAACGTGTCTACTAAGGAGAGATTTTCACACCCTTCTAAGAAGTGTTTCGTTCTCCTATCCAACCAATGTAGGATCTCACAGTCTACCCTTTTAGAGTCTAACTGACACATCGTCCATTGTCGGACTCTAATACTATTTGTAATAGCTTAAGCTCACCGCTAGTAGATATTATCCTCTTTGGGCTTCCCTTTAAGGTTTTAAAACGTGTCATACATATTTGCATATCAAAACATAATATGCACAAATTGTGAAAGTTAAATCGACCGAACGTATTTGCATACCAAACGCTCCTTTGCGACGAACCCATAAGAACCAACCACTTTCAAAATGCCCCAAATTAAGGAGCAGCAGCTGGTCAATACAGTTGAGTACATTAATCATTTTTTTCCCCTTGGCAAGAGGTCAATCAAAGCGTGGTAGATCCATAAGAACCCAACACCATTAATACAAAGTGAGTCGGTAGAGAAAACTATGCAGTATGCTTGTTTCTGTGTAGTCGATAACTATCTGATATCTCCCGACTCTCCTTCCTAGCTTCTTCTCTTATCCTCTTTTCAATGTTGCTCACATATGGGCACCATTATCTTCCAATGGATCCCCCAAGAGGCTGATTCAACAAACATAAGAACAGTACAGGTCTGTTATTCGTCAAGCGCTCCAGGGACATTTGAAATCTAACATCTCCCTTATATTTAACCGAATTGAAGGCCCCATCGACGAGCATATGTGAGCGCTCTTCCAGTATACACCTTTTGCACCTGATGGCTTATTGGTTTCTACTGATTTCTGTCAGAGTTCGAAGAAAATGACTTATCGAAAACGTTAGAGATGTCTTTAGAGACTAACAGCTAAAGAGAGAAGTGAAGAACATACTATGGCAGCCAGCAAGTTTATAAGAAGGTCCTCTTTGCTGAAGTCAGGTTTTCCAAATGGTAAGTGAACTATACCAGTTTTATATGCTCTGTATTCAACTTTCCCCTGCTTGAATTCTGCTAATGCCTGAAATCAAGGTTGCCCAATTGTTTAAATATATTCTTCATTTTGTTTTTCCTGATGGATAGATATGAAATCTGGATGCAATGCAGGCATAGAAAAAAGATCGTCGATACCTGAGGCAAATTGGGTGCTACAGTACCGGCTTTCGGATTCGGCATGAGTCCCGAGGTCCTAGGAGCTTCCCGAGGCTAGCAACCTGAATTGAGCAAAGAAGACTCAAATATGGAAATCAACTATATCGTCTTACTCTCAGTAATACTCGGGGCATTTACAATAAATAGACAAGACCAGAAGGCAAGCATGATTAACAAAATCGAGGAAGTATATCTATGACCAAAAAACGGATCGATAAACCCGTTGGTAATTATGTCTCTTACTCGTTATTTCTTTCTGCATTGCAGGATTGATCATCAGTATAATCCTAACCAGCTAATTCACCTTTTAGAGTTATGCAACTTGTTTAGGGAAACAGTTTATATGTTGTAAAAGTTATAAAAATCAATAGAACAATTGAAGCAATGCAATCAGAGGAATACCTCAGGCACCATGTCTGGGGAAGCAATCAATTGGTCAAAATTCATAAATCCTCCTTTTAGCTGTTCTATTATGTCCTCCCCACCAACCAAATCAGCTCCAGCATTCTTTGCTTCATCAAATTTCTCACCTGTATGTTCATTTCAACTTTTTAGGATTTCACCCTAAACAGTAAAGTCCTTAACCACTCAAGAAAAAAGGAATCTAGATGCATAAGAACCAACGATTTGGTTCGACCAAGATCGAAGTGGCACAAGACTGGACTTTACCCTATTCTAGATCCATGGACCTCAACTAGAGGGTGCAAACTTCAAATTATGGTAGAATCTCTATTGCCTAAATAAATGTGAGATCTCATGTCGGTTGGGGAGGAGAACGAAACTTTCCTTACAAGGGTGTGGAAAATATCTGCTAGCGGTGAGCTTGATTGTTCCATTAAAGTTCAACACGAAGATAACTCAAGAAAGTTTGTTGGTTGCAATCGAGATGGCTTGGGCTTGCCTAACTGAGCTAACTAGTTTCAGAATTATTTTTAAGAACAACTTTCATAAATCATCATTAGAACATATCTACACTTACCTGTATAAGAGCATTCAAATAAAGTAACCTCATGATATGCACATTCTTTATAACTTCTCTTAACAGTAAAGGGATCAGAGATATTGCTGTTTGGAGGTCATACTCCTTTTTGTTTTCCCTCGGTTTTTGAATTTCAAAGAATCTCCTGGATCTCCTCTGACATATCACACAATAAATTCCTCCATTTCTAAGCTTGAAAACAATCCACTCCAAGCACAACCATGAAACAGAACACAATCCACAATCCACAATCCAATCATCACACCGAAATCAAACATTACAAGATTTTGGAACATACTCTATCTCTTTCAAGGGGCAACGCGGCTTTTACCTTCTTAGGTTTAGGCGCAACGACCCCCTCGTTTTCCTCGGCGTCCACCTCGGCGACACTCACGGCGGCGGCGAGAGCAGCGACAATCACATGGTGCCTCGCTCGTCTCTGAAAATTAAACAATACCCAATCATCTGATCTCCTAGGACTGCAAAGAAAATGGCAGGAGGAGAAGGATTTGATGGTGGAATATCGGAGTATCCCCTTGAAAGAGATGAGATCTTGGTTATCTACAGAAGAAAGTGAACATTAGGGAAGAAGGAGAAGTGGAATTACAGGCCGCCATTGATGGAGAGTGAGGTTGCAAAGTTCTTCTTCTACCGATAAAAAAGATAAAATAAAATAATAATAAATAAATAAAGATTTCTAAACATTTTTTCTTGCGATAAATTTAATTTATTTTTTTCAATTAATTATTTTTTAATGCATTATTGTTTATTTAGCATAAATGTTCTTTAAAATTTAGAGAAAAAAAATTATTTTTTTAATGATAAGACAAGTGTACATGTGGTGATGATCTCTTCCGAATGTACACGTGTGTGGCCACGGTCTCTCGAAGTTGACGACGTGGAATGTTGTCGTGTCGTGATTTGTTATTTGGTATCTGTTTTGCTTTTCTTTTCTTTTTTTCAGAATTTTAGGGAGAATTTTAATTCATATTTAATAATCGGTTAAAGAAAAATAAATAATATTTCATTTTTAGTTATTGAAATATTAAATTAGTCTTAATTTTCAAAATTAATTTATCCCTTAAATAGTTACTAACCATTTTAAAAATCAAAATTATTATTATTTAAACCCTATACTCTCTATTCTTCATTTTATTTTAACACAAATTAATGTTGTTTTTTTTTCTTTTAATTTAAGATTAAAATTTATTATTTACAAATTTAAGAATGAAATTTCGACCCCTTACTAAAACATAAAATTTAAGAGCGGGAATGTACATAAATTGGGTTAGGTTGGATTAAGGAAATTTGTTGGACCAATAAAAAAATTTGAGTTTTTGAGTCCGTAACCAAAAATTGTTTCACAACACTATTTTTCGGTTGAGTTTTCGAGTTGTTAAAAATAAATTAACTTTTATATCCATAATACATAATCATTTAATACAGTTTGAGGAAAAAATATTCAAACGATACTTCTAAAACCCGCTATAAACAGTGACCACAATATACTTTAAAATGACTTAAATGAACATAAATAATATGATAAATCACAACGTATAATTAAGGCGATGATTGTTTATTAGTTTGTTCATGTTATAAATAATGTGTTTAAAAATAGTATAAAATAGTAACCGTAGTTTATTAATTTATTCATATTATAAATCATATGTTTAAAAGTAGTATAAAAAAAATTATATTTGTCTTCTCAAATCAAAATTAAACAAAATTATGAAAAATGATGAGTTGGAATATTGTTATGTAGATATGTGATTCCTAACATGGTATCAGAGTCATATCCTAGACTTAATTATATCAACAGAATCCTCAAATGTGAGTCTCAAAGGTATAGTCAAAAGTGACTAAAGTGTCGAACAAATTGTGTAATTTGTTCGAAAACTCGAAAACATGAGTCGAACCTCGATTAAGGTGAGATTGTTCAAGGGCTCTATAAGCTTTAGGGGAGGCTCTATAGCGTACTTTATTCGAGTTTTGGAGTTCAAAGTCATAAAAGGAAATAAACTAATCAAATATATAATCTTCGACCAATCATAAAAGAAAGAAAAGACGTAGTTAATTAAAATTATATCGATCGAAATCCTCTCGAAACCGAAACTAGAACAAGAATGAAACAGATTTTTATGTATTTATTATCCATTTCTAGTTCAACAATTCATAAAACCCCTTTAAATTGAACACTCCCTTAATCCTTTTTCATCCCCAACACAAAAGCAAGCACAATGGCCATCTTCCTCAAGTTTCTCACACCTCTTCTCTTTCTCTCTCTCCTTTCCACAGGTATAATTATAAAATTTCAATTCCATTTCATGAAATCATAAAATTTAAATTAATCGAGTTGATATTGTTTCAGGAAATTGTCAATGTGAATCGAACAACATACAAATCAATCAAACGAGGACTGGTTTTCAGATACATGGAATGACACAATGGAAGGTGACAATAAGCAACAACTGCATATGTTCTCAGTCCAACGTGAAATTAGATTGCAGAGGATTTCAAACCATTGAAAGCATCGATCCTTCCATCTTAGCAATTTCCGACACCGAGTGTTTGGTTAACAACGGTCGCCCAATTTTCAATTTCAATCCCATCAACTTCACTTATGCACGAGACCCTAAATTCAAGTTCGACCTGATCTCCTCCCAAGTTGCTTGTTCTTAAATCTCTCTCGTTCTCTCCTTCCTTCTTTTATCTCCGTGTATCTGTTAATTTCATTGGTCTAAATTTTTACTATAAAGAATAAATAATAGTTCGAATACGTCAATTTTTAATCGATATTAAATAAATATATAATTAATAATGGTAAGTGGATATTTAATAATTCAAAAGTAATGGAATAAATTTTTTTAAAAAAAAATAAGAATTGGAATTTTTATTATTTAATTATGGAAATTTTTGAAAGAATTGAACTTATGAGTGAGTTTCAATCTCTCTGTTTATTTCAGCACTTTCTCAGCCACAACAAACAGAGAGCCTTTTCATATCCCAATCTCTCTCTCTCTCTCTCTCTCTCTCTCTCTGTGAAGATTCTTCCGGCGAAGAAATGGCGATCCGAAATTTCACTAATCTCTCCACACCGTCGCCGTTTCTCCGCCGTTCACCTCCGCTGAATTTTACTTACATTCTCACCTGCCGAACCTGCGCTGCTCCATCTCTCCGCTTCCACTCTCCCCGCCGTCGCCGAAGCCTCGGAATCTCCGTCGCATTCGCTTCATCCGGTGGAATTCCACCCGGAGGACATGACGGAGGCGGCGGCGGTGGTGGAGGCGGCGGCGGACACGAAGGAGGCGAGGAGGAGGATCGGGAGAAGAACAGAGCGGAGGCGATTGCGGTGCTGGCGGAGGCCGGGAGGTCGACAGAGAGTTTGCCGAAGGATCTGGCGGCGGCGATTGCGGCGGGGAGAGTACCGGGGGTGATCGTGGAGAGATTCTTGGAGATGGAGAAATCGGCGGTGTTGCGGTGGTTGATGCAGTTCGGCGGATTTAAAGAACGGCTTCTGGCGGACGACTTGTTCTTGGCTAAGATGGCCATGGAATGTGGCGTTGGAATTTTCACAAAGGTCTTTTTCTCCTCTTTTTCAAATGCCCCTTCACTCATATTTTTCTATCTTAATTATCATATTTATTAAAAATTTAAAATTACAAATTTCATCCACATTTCTTTCAATTTTGCACTTTTTTTTTTTATAAAAAAAATATATTTAATTTAACTAATTTAATTCGAGAGCAAAATATTATTTTAATCTCGAAGTTATGTCATTTCAAAACAAACAAATGTTTGATGATTGAAAAATAATTATAAATTGTCTAGAATTGAGTTATTTAATGTGATAATGAAAGATGTGATTTATTTAGTTTGTATTATTGGATCTCTAAATTTAAAAACATTTTTAATTTTATGTTTAATAAACTTATTTAAAAATTATCTAATATATTTTAAGACCTATAAATCTCTCAAATTTTTATTAATTTATTCAATATCTTTTAAAAAAAATTTAATTTTTAAAATTTTAGCACCAATCAAATATAAATTTGAAAGTTAATAACTGTGATTGTAATTTAATTATATATATGTGTTTTTGTGGCTAATTATTAAGCATGGATTTCAAATTTAATTCTCTGCTAGAACATAAATTGAGTTTTTTTTTTTTTTTTTTTTTTTTTTTTTTTTTTTTTTTTTTTTTTTTTTTTTTTTTTTTTTTTTTTTTTTTTTTTT